AGAGAGAGAGAGAGAGAGAGAGAGAGAGAGAGAGAGAGAGAGAGAGAGAGAGAGAGAGAGAGAGCGCAGTGCCGTACAGAATGATTGCTTATATGTGGGCCAAGACAATTACCTGGTAGTAATAGAAAACAAAAAAAAAAAGTCTTCTGTATCGTTCCAATTTTAACGGATGTCCCGAAGGACAAGGTCCTGGTCTCAGTAAGTTGCCAGGTCCGTTCCTTCTCAGCAGGGCCATAGGACAATGGTGGTAGGTGTGTGGCCTTTAGGCGGTATGATTTATGTGAGCGAGTGCTGTTGGTGATGGGAATAGATGTGATTTTGTTCTCCACCGTAATTTTTGGAGTTCCCTACATCCCGTTCTTTTCCTTTTCCCCTTTCTTTGTCTTAACATCTGCAAGGGACGGACTCTTGGAGGTGATATGAGCATCCTCCAAGAGTGGTCCCCACCCTTTTTGATGACTCCAATAATCTATTGCTGGGGAGCTGCACCTGCTCGAATCCGGGTCCAGCATCCCTTTAACAGATCAGAGCATGACAAATATGGAAAACACAGCCAGCCTCTTGGCTAAAAATAGATCAAGTGCGGCCTCGAACATTTGAGTTTGGTAATGAATTGCTCGTGTTGGTTTAAAAAAAAAAAAAAAAAAAAAAAAAAAAAAAAAAAAGACCAAGTGTAGTAGCTGTTATCTGATCAGTTCACTATCTGATCCGTGGTCCGTCGGGCCACATTCAAAGAATTATAAAAAGTACACGGCTGCCAAATCCGTGTGGCGGAGGATGACATCGATTGGGCTCTGTGGAGGGGATTTACTGTTCTGCTGAGAAAACGGAACTAGAGGGTTGACCAGGTACCATCCCCAGGCCGGGCCATTCTCGGGCGAGCACAAGGGACACATATCTCCCTAGGCAAGCTTGGTCAGTTGATTCCGTGGAAATCCCAGGGCAATCAATACTGGCAGGCAGGAGCTCGCATCAGCTGCCATCAGTTCAGACAATCTCATTTTTCCTCCTTTTTGAAAAGGACGACGAATTTGAGATATCATCTTTTTTTTTTTCTTTTTTTTTTTGATATCATCATTGAACTTACCAGCCGTAGGTAATTTTCTCAGAAGCACGTTATGTTGTTAATCTGACTGCATCTGGATTCGAATTTGGGTCTGTATTTCAATAGTTCATGGGTGTACCAACTGAGCAAGGGCCGTTGGTAATTTCATTTTTCGATGTATATGGGACAGTGGATTCCTTTTCCTTCAGGTGATGCCCCGCACCAATTGATGGGGCCTGCCCCATGACGCTAGTGATGTCTGCTCCTATCAGCACCGCTAGCGCTCACAGTGTTTTCTTTTTTTTTTTAAGGAAAAAAACTAGGCTACCAGCCGGGCCGTCCGGGTCACCCTATTTTCCCGGGCGGCCCGGCCGTGCAAGGACCAGGGAAGGTCCCAGCCAACAAAAAAAAAAAACCTCAAAAAAATCCAAACAAAAGCTATGTTATGCAAAAAAATAAAGTGAACAACTTTTGCCTCAGGGTTACATCGAAATTCTTTACCAAATTTAAAATAATTAAAAATATGAGTCGGTGAAACTCCGACGAAACAGTTTGTCACAGCCCCTCGTTTGTTGTCCTCTTCTCCCTCTCTGCCTACGGCTTACCGGGCAGTTCTATTTGACGATATATATATATTTTTTTCATTTCTTTTTGGCCCGGGCAAGTGGACCCGGGCCACTCTGGTAGCCTAGGAAACTCCCCCTTTTTTTTTTCCTTTTTTTTTTTGTCTGCTCCTATTTTGCAAATTTCCCATTTCCAGAGAGCTCAGCTTTCCCAGTCTCCCTGCCTGCCTTCTGAAGCCTGAGCTTTCCTTCTTCTCTACTCAGAGCCTTGTAACATTTCAAGCCCTGCTCCTCCTCGAAGTGACTGCCTAGCAACTAAACTTGGTAGAGAGACCCATACTTGGCCGGCGGACAGGATTGAGGAGAGATGCAGTGCATCTGGTGAGCAGGAGCGGAGAAGAAGGGCAGTTTCGCTCAGGGTGAGGAAAAGTCTGACAGGGGTAGAAGAAGGGCAGAGGTGGAGGTCTGAAGATGGGGAGACTGCAGTGGGGGCAGTTGAAGGTGGTTAAGGTGAGGTATGTATGGGAAAGGGGAGGAGAGGTCTCTGGGGCTCTTACTGGTTTGCATTAGGATATAGCAGTATATTGTTTGTTGGTGTGAGGCCTTAGTGTCAGGCCCCACTGGTGCTATGTTTGTGCTTGGAAATCCTGAATCTGATCGTAGTCATGGTTATGTTTGTACTTTGTCAGCATGAACTCGTCACTGTGTCCGACACCACTGCTTGCACATGCTCACTCTGGATCACCCTGAATACTCCACACACGCACACTCTATCAGCTACCTCTACCCTACGGCGGCTATGGCAGCTCGCCACTACTACTATGGCTACTATGTCTCCCTTCAGCCCACTTCTACCTCGGGCAACCTGCAGACCACCTTCGCACAAGACGCTGTAGCACCGCTGTCGAGCGCATCGGCTCCCGAACTGTGTTCTCGTTGTCCATATCTCTGAGCTTTGAGTGGGCGCTCTGCGCCAGCGTGAATCGCCGTCTGTTTGCATGTATGCGAAGTGGAGAAGAAAGCGAGTCTGATTGCATAATAGCCAAAAAAATTGAAAAATATAATAATGATAATAATAATAATAATAATAATAATAATAATAATAATAATAATAATAATAATATTGCAAATGGATGTCTTGCAGATTTCACTGTCAGCTCTGTACTAGACAAGATCAGACGGGGGAAGCTTGACCTGCGACCATCATACCAGGTAATGTGCCACGTCGTGGTCCATGTCTTCTTTTCTTTTTTTCTTTTTTTTTTTTTAACACAGGCTCTGATCTATTTGTGTCCATGTCCTGAAACTGTAATCGCTGAAACTGTAATCTATCCCACTCCAGTAAGGCCATGCAATTTTTGTTTTTGGTTAAACTCTCTTTGAAAAAAAAGAAAATAAAAAGAAAAAAAAGACTATGCTGCCATGACCTAAACTTGAAGTTCAACCCCTCTGTTGGTTGTGGAACCCGTTCCATGGCCTTTCTGGATTTGAATTCCGTCTCAAACTCTCTCAATTATAACTCTTGCCTGTTTGCTAGGATGCTTATGCTGGGGGAAACCTTGCTGTTATGCAGTGTCGTCTGGCACTCTGCCTCCAAATAGCCCAGAGAATTGCCTTCGTGATGAGCTTGAAGGTATCTGCTCCAAGGGGTGTCAGCCTCTTGAGGAGAGAACTGTAGATCTCTTCTGAAAAATAGAATCAAGAGAGTAAGAATATAGAGGGTGGTATCTCTGAGAGAGAGATAAATGTCTAGAAATTTATAATTAGCGGATGAAAGAGTCCGCACTTAAAAAAAAAAAAGAAAAAAGAATATAGAGAGTAGAACAACCCCAGTCTCGTAGCATAGAAGCACAGTCACAGGTCTCTGGTGCTTGTTTCCCAGCGGAAGACAACAATGCAGCATGTCCTCTGGTTAACCCAATGGATGCATTGCGTGTACTTCTTTCATGTCACTTCTGTTCTGTGCTCTTTACTTGCAGTTTTCCTGACTGATTGCTGTTATTCCCTTCCATGGTATGTCTGCGAGAAGATTCAGATCATCACCCATGTTTTGTCCATGTCGCGTCGTGCAACTTATGCTGTGATTGCGTCGATGTTATGACTTCTTAAGAAAATAAAGGTACTTTATACTGAGAGATGGTGGCCCGGTTACTATTCTATTGTAAAACCACCACCGTCACAACCTCTCCTCCAAAACTTGCAGCTGGGCACAGGGAGGGTGCAGAAAGGCTGGGGCTACATCGGGTGGGGGGGCGGGGGGGCAGCAGGGGGGTGCAGGAAAGAGAACTTAGCGTCCTTCAGATACCATTGTTGAACTGACCAGCCCCAGGTAATTCATAAGTAGTTTATTTCACTCTAGTTTCATCCGGATTTGAACTCAGATTTGCATTGTTTTTTTTTTTTTTTTTTCCCAAAATACACAGCCCCTGTATATTCTGGGGAGAACCAGTCCGGTTGCTTATCACCGGCAAGCATAGAAAATACAAGGGTGTGTACTAACTGAGGTAGGCCTGGTGGTGGTCCACAAAATTTCCAGTACCTCAGCTTTGATGATTTTTCTTACTCTAATGCAGGGTTGCATACCCGCAGACCGCCTACCCCGACCGCCGACCATATTGCAGCCGACCAGTAGGGCCGACCGGTCCGCGGTCTGCTGACCAGTCAGAAAACAGCCATCCAGTTTTTGTTTTTTTCCAATCTGAGTTGGGGGATGTACTGCACTTGCTGAGTACAGCCCAAATCCACTGAGAAACTTTTGGGGGTGAGGGGGGTATGTGGGGGTTGGGGGGGGAGTATAGGGGGGGTATAGGGGGATGTAGTGGGATATAGGGGTGGTATAGGGGGTATTGGGGAGGGTACGAGGGTGTTGGGGGGCGGTTTGGGGGTGTTGGGGGGGTGTTGGGGGGGTGTTGGGGGGGTGTACGGGGGTATTGGGGGCGGGTATGGGGGTGTTGGTGGGGTTAGTAGGGGTTCTGGACCCAATAAAATAAAATAAAATAAATGAAATTGCAGGGTGCCGCCGACCAAGGCCGGTACGTGCCGACCAGCCAACCGGTCGGCTGGTCGGCATCCGACCAGTCAAGGGCCGCCGACCGTCTGGTTATGCAACACCGCTCTAATATCTGTTGATGAAAAGTTCCAAAGAAAATCACGGATATAGTACATGTTGTGAACTTCTCATGTATCACAGAACTGACTTACTTGACTGAAGGGCATCGTGTTGGCACAAAACTTCCTTTTTGTCCCTCAAAAAGAGAGGGCAATGGCCTTCAGATATCGTTGTTGAACTGACTGGCCGCGGGTAATTCTGAAGTATAATTCTGAAGTATGTTATTTTGCTCATTTAGTTCCATCTGGATTTGAACTGGTGAACAGTCTTTCACTGCCGGCAAATTCAAAATGTGGAATAAGTAGAGTGAATGATCTGTTTTGTTGGAATGACACATTCACATTCACATGACTCCAACCTCAGATTGAGAGTTGTTACCTTGTTTTTATTTTTATTTTTACGACTCCCTGCTAACTTTTGTTTCATGGCTATAGGTAAATGGCTATGTTACCTTCGCTTCATGACTATGGGTAAATGGTTATTTTTGTCTCATTGACAGTGGATTGATGTCAGCAATAGCGGTGTTCATAATGGAGTCAATTGACTGATATCACTGTTTTTTTTTTTTTTTTTCTCTGTCTTTGTTGTATCATGGTTGATGGGTTTGTTGAACTTTGTTCTGATACTGGCATGTGTCAGAGGGACTTTGTGTGGGACAAGAAGACGGCAAGTAAACTAATTGAGTCACTATTGCTAAACATACCAGTACCGACACTTTTCTTCCATGAGAGACAAAAGTATGCACACCCTTCTTCTTCTTCTTCTTCTTCTTCTTCTTCTTCTTCTTGATTCTTGATGTTATTATTGTTATTTGCATGGCTATGCCGGACCCGGACCCGGACATTTCCGGACATGGAACCGGACTCGTGTCCGGTAGTTTCCGGACGTCCGGAATTCCGGACATTTCCGGACCTCCGGACATGGGTGGATCCGGACGGTCCGGATGCCCGGACAGGTCCGGAAAATGTCCGGACCGTTAAAAAAAAATAAAAATAAAAAAATCTGAAAAAAAAGTATGTTATGCAGAATAGCAATGCAAACCACTTTTGCCTCGGAGTCATGTCAGAATTCCAAACCAAACTTGAGTTAGAAGTCGAAAACGATAAAAAAAGCTTAAAAAAAGTTAAAAAAACTGCAAGGAACATGAGTATGGACGAAGCACAGAAATCCAGAATGCAAAATCACACTGAAGTCCAAGTATTCAAAGCCAAAGCAGATAGCACATGGAACCGAGTAACCATCCCATTGAGAATGATACAGAAGAATCGTGAGTCAATGTCCATGCCCAACAGGGCAACACCAGCAGCATAACCCAAATGTAGCTCTCTCTTGTGAATGGCGCCAGGCGCCCTATCTACTCTACAGCCTACTACAACTACAGCAATGAACAGCAACCAGACAACTTGACTACCAGCGAGTGATGATGTCAACATCAATGCAGACCTCCACCATCACCAGGTACGTGTCCTCTTCCCCACACTCTCCCTTGTTACCCACACAGCGCCCTTCACCTCCGAAGTACCACCTTCGCCCTCACCTCCCCTGCACCCTCATGCGGCCCGGCTATGGCCGCCAGTGCCCTGCACGCAGGCAGCGCCCTACCGCCTAGCGCTGGCCTGCTTGCTCTTAGCGCAGCACTGCCTTGCACAGCGCAGCACACATGCATCCCCGCAGCGTGCCCGCATGTGCCAGCATTGGCCAAGATGCCCGCTGCCTCGCCCTGCTTGCCTATATGCCAGTGCAGCGTGTGGGCGGCCTCCCTTCAGCCTGTGACCGGGGCCCAGAGGCTGAAGCCAACTCGATACAGTTGGGCCCCGGGGCAATGCAGTTGCGCCTCCTTCATCAAGGCCTGCGGCCAGACTCAGACAGTGGGCCGATTTCCCTTTGGCATTTTCGGCCTCTCTACCCAGCATGCATTGTCGGCCTCACGTTCGAGTGCCCGCCTAACTAACTCAGAGGCCCTGGGCATTTCAGCATTTGCTGAAATCCGAGACTCGGTGCACTCCAACCAACTGGCGTGCTGCAACTGTATAGACCCCACTTCGTGAAATGTTGGCACAGAGGGCTCTTGTTGATTTGCTGGCCCGCCTTCACTTAGGGCGGGCACTAGGCTTGCTGGGGCCTTAGCCCAGAACATGTACATCATGGCAAGGCCCCTACTTGAGGGCTCAATCCTCACAAAACCTTCAAAAACTAATAAAAGGTAATAAATTATTAATAATTAAAGAATTGGGGTTGTCTAATAAATTATTATATAGAGAGAGCATGTCCGGACCCCTCAAAAAAGCATAAACGGGCCTGAAAACCCCCCAAAACAATTTTTGGGGCTAGTCTCCTCAATGGGGAAGGGTCCTGGACCGTTTTTTTTTTTTTTTTTTTTCCCTCGAAATTTTGCAGATCCGGACCTTCCAGACCGGACGTCTGGAGCTCGGACTGAATCCGGACCGTCTGGGCGGCGGTCCGGACGTCCGGATCGTAGCCATGGTTATTTGCTTTTCTTCTGCGTTACCAACCAGGCCGCCCGGGCCAGGGAAGGTCCCTGTGAAAAAAAAAAAGAACATCCAAAAAAATTGGGAAAAAATATATGCACACCCTTCTTCTTCTTCTTCTTCTTCTTCTTCTTCTTCTTCTTCTTCTTGATTCTGGATGATATTATTGTTATTTGCTTTTCTTCTGCATTACCAACCAGCCCGCCGGGGCCAGCGAACGTCCCTGCGAAAAAAAAACAAGGACATCCAAAAAAATCGGGAAAAAAACTATGTTGTGCAGAAAAATAAACTAAACAACTTCATGGTCACATCAAAATTCTTTGCCAAATAAAATGGAAATAAAATAAGATTTGTTTTTATTTTTTTACTCATTTTGACCTGGCCCGGCAAGTGGTCCCAGGCCAAGCTTTGATGTAGCTTTTTCTTTAATTGGTGTTATTCTTTTATCAGTAGAGCCACTAGTATTGTTGTTGTTGTGATTTACTATAATTACTATTTTTACTCGATAATTATTGTTATCGACTTATCAGTATTGTCGTCGTCGTTGTTGTTCTTCTGGTGGTGGGGGTGGCGGTGGTACTGTTGTTGTGGAGGGGTCGGTTAGTGGAGGACAAAAACAATGGCAGAAGGGAGGAGTAGAGATGGACCGTACAAACCAGTGCGTGAATGTGTGGAGGAAATAGTGATAGGAAAACCCTTTAAAGCTAATGCTTGCTAATCCAGCCAGTGATGTAGACTGCATCTGAACTCAAATCAAATGAACAGAAGCCACAGCACATACATTAGCACAGACAAGGGAAACACAAAGAAAGTAAACAAAATTACTGGCGCCCGAACCTAGGCCATCTTCGAGGATAATCTCAGACAGTCCAAGGTCTTAGAGGGTAGCTCTCAGGATTCTACTTCTCACCAATCGAAGCGAAACTCGGTAAAGCTCCCAGAGGTTACTTATGACTTGTTGTCTTCATGGACGCTGGACCTGTACCAGGAGGTGAAGCTCCCCACCAATGGACTGGAGCTATCCACAAGGATCTCTTGATCCCGCTGGTTCTCATACCAGCACAGGACCACAGGTTTTTGCAGGATGTCATTGTTTATTAAAAAAAAGAAAAGAAAGGAAAGAATTTTTTTTCGTGGTTATCCAAACAAAGGCCTCCCCCAACCATGCCATTCAAGTGATCATGGCAGAGGTAATGGAAGGTACAAGCCTACTTTACAGCACCCACTCCATCACAAATAGGCAAAGAACAAGTTGCTCATTGTGCAGATGTGTGTGT